TTCAGATAAAATAAAGCCTATTTTTACTGGAAATTATTAATAAGACACAATATTCTAAATGAATGTACACTAACATAAAATTTAATTAACTTATAATTTATGGAGAAGGATAAAAAATTAGACATTTAAACATAAATCAAATTATTAATCTGCAAAGAGCTGAGCATTTTTCTGTTAAATATTCATTCACATTCTTATGTCTTCTACTACCTGCTATGTTTAAATAAAAGGCAATGTATCAAGTAGCCAGTCTGAGTAATGCAGTGTAGCAGTTTTAGTAACAATCCCATTCAATATATTAAAGAATTTTCTCATTCCACATTGTTGTAAACAATCCATTTTTCATTGCCTATGATCATTCTTTTCAAAAATGGGCTGTTTTGTTGCTTTTGAGCGGAAAATCACAGATGGAAATGCAATCCATTAAATCTTTTACATTAAACTGTGAAGCATCTAAACACCATAGTCATTCACATATCCAAATGTCTTGAAACGCCTTGAAACACTCACATGAAATATATAAGGTATCTCAGCAAATGTCCTATGTCATGTGATTCTGGATGATTTTTTTTAACCAGCATTTTGATTTGGTTGTCATCAATGGCTGCAAACCTGCTGGAATGTTCTCAGTCTTCCAGATCAAAATTTTCACTTATGAACACTACTCCCAGCTATGGCACCATCTCCATAAATGGCATATATCTTCTTTGCTGTTTGTACCACATTTTTCATTTTTTCCTTTGAGCATCAGATGATGAAAATGCATCTAATTTTCAACCATTTTCACTTTTAATGTAAAAACATTTTAAAATTCATAATCCACACATAAATCATATCGAAAGACATTTTACTTTCAATTCTTCCAATATAACAATGTATAATACCCTGTCACCAGCCTTAGTCAGAAGAAAATGAGATTCATCAGACTTTTCCCACTGATACACTACCAAGTTCCAATACTGAAATGCTCATTAAAAGGTACTTCTATCAATGGAAATTGGTTAGAATGTATACTTTGACCTGCCTGTGGCTATACAGCCCCACATACAATATTATGTTAGGAAATGTTTCTTCCTTCAATTTGATGAAAGCTTTCTGCAATTTGTGTAACAGTTCTTCTGTTGCTCTTTACTTGGTAGGAAAACATTTGTTCACTTAACATGTCAATAAGTATGAAGCCTCTAAATGTCTTATCAGAAGTTGGGGAATTTTCTCCTGTTTGAACCATTTCTGAAATATACTCAACACAACTGAACATAAATACTCTACATTTCAGAAATGCTTTTTAACCATATAAATTTGGATTTTATCAAATCTTTCTTCTTGTCCATTACTGTGGTATTCAACACATTAAAATATGGTTATTCATTAAGGCTAAATGAGGCAAAAAGTATAGGATAATTGGGGTTATGTTGTACCAATATTTTCATATAGTGAGAGTGTAGTGAGTAAAAAGTAATAACAACTCCCTTTATTCACTCCCTTCAAATTTGGAGGACTGAAGAAAATGATGGAAAAGAATTTACAGCCCTATGTAAAAAATTTTGGACAATGAAAACCTTGCCCTCACAGAAATTGGCCGGCAAGCTGAGAAGAAGATGAAAATAAATTTGCGAGCCTATGTGAAATTGTTTTTAGACTAATGAAAACCTTGCCGTCACAGAAATTAGCCATTGAGGTAAGAAGAAAAAAAAGAAAGTCACGAGCCTATGGGAAATTCCTTTTGATATAAAATGAGGAGAAAAATTAAATTAATAAGAGTGTCTGAAGACATGTGAAATGTTTTGTTTCTGTTCCCCATGTTCAGCCTTGAAGTTTTCGCCAATGTAAAATTACTCACCAATTAAATTATCAGCCTTAACCAAGCAAGTGGCACTTCAAAGAACTTTCAACACTCCAAGAAAGCTAAATATTTAAAACTATCTCTCTTCTTCTACTTTTGAATACAACTGCATATCACTGCTTTGATATTTTTATCTCTACATTTGTTTTAAACATTTTCTAATATTATTTTGTCAAATCATTTACTCTGTTGAATAAACATTTACTCTTCCTGACAATTCATTAAAACTACGGACTATAAAAATTTCTAATTTTCCTGAAACAAACTACTGACACAACTTCAAGCATGTCAATACATAAATAAATCCGTCTTCTTGTTTTGTTAAAATTACCCATGTGTTTCCTTGTCATTATCATGCTTCATTAATCTTCTTGGCATGGATAAATCAACTATTCATTTTAACCCCTAAGCCCCACACCACTATAAGAGCCTGTCTTAAAAGTCAGCTTTTGAAAATACTGACTCATATCATGGCTTGAACACCAACCAATAGTGATAATACACACCTTTCTCAGACACATTGCAGCCAGAATAGAAATATAAACAAAGCAAATCACAGTTTTCATGAATGGAAGTCAGCAATCATAGGAATAACAATTTTAGAGATGAAGAAACTTAATAAAGGCTCTTGAGTTTCTTGGTATTGGCAACAATAAGAATATAGCTATAAATTACTTTAGAATTCATTTTTAAATGTTGTTGGGGGCCAATAAATACATAGATATAACAAGAGACTTCAGTATGATTGATGAACAAATTCAACAAGCTAAATAAATGATAATGAATGCATTCCTTACTAAAGAACATAGCTATATGCCAAAATTGTTTCCATTCAAAAAAGATCAATGAGAAAATAAAAGAGTTGAACTCAAACAACTTTTGTCTCAGAAAGTCAATCTTATTGTGACAGCTGCTCTAATACTTGAGGTATGAGAGCTATATAACTGACTGAAGATCAAATCTAACTATATGAATTAACACTTCATTCCCACCTCCTCCATAATGATTAGCAACATCTTTGATGTTAATGTAGTATTACCCATAGTGGTGTTGTAACCAGCATATGGTTGCAAAGGAAAGAACAAGCAAGGATTAAAATTTCAATGGCATGTATTGGACAATATGGTTTGCTGGTCCTGTATAGGGGCCATCAAGATGAAGAACAACTCAGTTTGGATTTTTTCATATAGATGGGTCTCGAGGAAACATTGGATTCAAACAAGACATCCGATGAGGTATTGTATTTCTTTTTCCATTGTTGGAGGGTTCATTTTGTTAGTTTGTTAATACTTTGCTGCACATTGCTGGCACCAGTTGTTCCCTGATGGGATCAAGGTGTTTGGTGCAAGTAAGACCTGAATAATCCATTTCCCTTGCTGCATGTCTCTGACATCAGTTGTTATACTTCTTGCTGCATTCAGTGCATCAAGTGTTGGATGAAGATTGACCTTGGTTATGGTGGTGACAACAAGAGGTGAGGCCATTATCAACAGCTGGCATGGTACTGTGTCAGTTGTTTATGAAGGGCTTTCATCTAAGCTAATCTGGTGGCTCCCACCAGCCTCATTTTTTGGGGGGGTGGGGGCAATGATTATGATTGGCTATTGTATTTTAGATCTTTGCAGGAATTTGTTTTGTGGACCAGATGTGAGGGTTGGAGCCTCTGTGCAGAAGACAACTTTTTTTAGTTGGTGTTTTGCTTTCTTCCTGAGTGCTCACATCTGGCTGACATGTAGAGTGAATCAGAAAGAGATCTAATTTACAGTGGAGGATAACAGTAAGATTATCTTGAATAATATTCTTATGTTTACTACATATCCTTGTTACTTCACACATTTCACTGTATATTGTGTATTCATGCATGTAATTCATCCTGGATTTTTATCTCTATCTATAAAAGGCAGGATGTGTATGTGTGTGTGTAACGAATACACGGCCGCAATTTTCGACGGATTTGCACCAAAATTTACATGCACATGCTCCAAGTTAGTGGAAAGGCCAAGATCAACGTTGCATTTCCCAATTCCCATCAATAGTGGAAATAATCAATTTTTTCATGCTTCTACAGCAGTTTTTATGTAGTTTGCGGCCATTTTCTACTGGCCAGAATGAGAGCCTATAGCTGGCTGCCACGAATAGGCAGGAAGATTCTATTGGCCAGCGTGAGAGCCAACAGCTGACTGATATGAGTGTTAACTAGCATGCTAGCATGCAAAAAAAATTGATAGCTGCATTCATCACAAGTGGGAAAAATTTAAATCTGCATGGCACTTTACTCCAATTGGCTCATTCGCTTGCTTAAACTCAACGTTGATTCTGATTCTGCAGAACTGGGTTGGGTGTGAAAAAGTATTTGTTGTTAACATTCTTTTTTCATCCGGTTTTTCCAGTTACGAGTCCTTTTTTAAAGCTGATCGTTTTGTGTTCATTTTGTTTAGTTTTTTTTTGTAACAGATTTAATGTTTAGTATACAGCTTAGAAAAAATTTGCAGTGTGAGATAGGCAAGAAGTAAGGCATGTAGCAGCATCAGCATGGCAAAGGGCACTCCTTTAAAGGCAAGGAAAGGGCAAAAATATTTTAAGTCAAGTGATAGCAATTGCTGTATGAGTTGTATGATTTTTGAATCAAGCACGGGTAACGCCGGGCCATGCTGTTATATATGGGAAGGAACTGCCCTGTCTTCACTTTCTAGTCTTGATAGTGTCCAAAAGAGTCTCTGTGGGGGACAGTTATGTTCCACCCTACATCCCTCTTTCTATTTTAAGTCAAGTGATAGCAATTGCTGTATGAGTCGTACAATTTTTGAATCAAGCATGGGCAACGCCGGGCCATGTTGCTAGTAAAGACTAAATCTGCCAAACTTGTTGCAACTTCCCACTGAAGAAATTGATTGATAGATTTCTTTTTCTTTTTAACAGCTTATCAACTTTTTGCAGGTTATTTAAGGCCAGAAAATATTTTTAGATTAAAAGTCTTTTTTTCCAGAGATAATAATCATTTTGTGATACAAGTGTAACTGGAGGGAAAAGTTGTTGGTTCATAACTTTCCCAAGGATATTTGTATGCAAGTGAATACAACGTACCCAACTGGAATTGGAAGAGCTTTCCAAATAACAATTCCAAGCCATTATCCATTACACCACCTGCACAACCAAGCTTACAGCACCTAGTATTCTGAAGAAGACACCCATCAAGGTACTGACCAGGCTTGATGTTGCTTAACTTTGGTGATCATACAAGAACCGGTGTTTCAAAGTGTTATGGCTGTAAGCCCATTGAAGAAAGACTAAATCTATTGATCCTGATTTGTCACTCTATTGTAAGAATTAAATAGATGTGAAATGATTAATGAATACTTGGAAAAATAATTGACAAATGCAGAGCATGAGTAGAAGAGAGAAAGAGAAAGTGAGAACAATACTAAGTGTCAACACTAACACTTCGGCTACTCAGGCTCAGCTCATATAACCCAACTGTTAAGTTTTATTTTGAACCAATAAACAATGTCTCAGCAGAAAAAAAGGTCGATTTGTTCTTAACTCATAATAATGTAATAATTTGTAACTGAGACTGAAAAATTTCAGTTTGAAATAAAAACATCTTGGATGGTTTAAATTCAGTATTTTTTCAAGGAATATCACTTATTTCAACTTCATAACTTTATATATTGACTTAAATTTACTGTTCATAATCATAACAATTTTATATGAACTTCATCAAGGCAAATGCAAGGATTTTCTTTGTAACAAGTATTTATATACAAGAGCAAAAGTGTTATTGATCTTTCAAGATTTTAGGTATAGGAACACTCATAAATATTCATCAGGTTAGCTGAAAAGTCAGGCAAGTTATGGAGGATATTAAGTGATACAATTCAATATCTAATAAATGAAAGTGAATTTTTTGTTCTTGTATATAAATACTTGTTACAAAAAAATCCTCTCATTTTTCATATATATATATATATATATATATATATATATATATATAAAATACTTAACTGTTTCACCTTTATGGTAAACAGATATATTTTTTAAATTCAATTTATGTAACAGCCCAGACTCAGCACTCTGAGTTGTGCAAACAGTGAGAGATATGTATATTTATTAATATATACTTAATAGCCCTGTTATATATATATATTATAAATTAATTGATTTAAAATGTTTTTTTCTGCTACATATTTATATATCTTACTGTTTTTTTTTTTTTATATATATATATATATATATATATATATATATATTTATATATATATGTTTTTATATAATATATACATAATATCTTACATTAATTGCACAACTCAGAGTTTCATACCAAAGCAATTTTCAAGTGCTAGAATTATTATTTTTATTATTATTTTCATAATAATTCCAGCACTTGAAAATTGCTTCAACATGAAACTCAAAGTTGTGCAATTAATGTAAGATATTGTGTATATTTATTTATATATATATTAAATAGTTCTGTTATTTTACATTGAGCACTATTTTTTCTTATGCTATAGAGTATTTATATATATTTGTATATGATCACTCACTCATATACCTACCTATATTTACCCATTTGGTTATATATATATATATATATATATATATATATATATATAAGGAAGAACAGTAAGATATATAATCCGGTGTTCTTATAGATATTTTTATTTTTACAATATAGTGCTCAATGTAAATTTACAGAGCATTAATATTATAAATTAACTGATTTAAAATATGGTTTTGTCACTACACAGTTCTAACCATGTTTCAAAAATGAAAGCTAAAAGCTTGGAATTTAATTTTGTAATTAAATTAAAGACATTAGTTCCATTTCATCCTCAAGTGAATTTTGGAGTAACTTATTTTTAAATTTACTGGGTTTTTTGAAGGCACGGCAAAAAAAATCATAATTTACAGTTTCCAAGGATACAGAGAAATCCATTCATCCAGACAAGGGGTGGTTGCGTGTTCATTTTCATTAACTTTTGTTGTATCAGTTATTAGTTACATTTGAAAAAGGGGTTACATTTAGGTAGGGGTAGGGATGGATTTCTCAACGAATTCTGACATCCGTTAAATGCATGTTGTCTGGATTTTTTTTTAAATTTTATTGTTAACGGCAAAAATTCTTACGGCATTTTTTCTATTTGCATACTTAAAGATTTTTTGGGGATGTTTAGGTTAGAATACGTTTTATTTAACTACAATTTTAAAATAATTTCAGTTTTAATTTTTAATAGACTATATTTCTTTTTAAAACAAGTAAATGTATTAGAATTACTTACAGTATGTAAAATTATTTTTTCACATCAAGTATAAGTATGTATATTATCAGGTCACTTTTTTTTTTCTTTTTTTTTACAGACACACACACACACACACACACACACACCAAGTATTCATTCAAATATGAACATTTGTTGATAATGACTAGTTATGGTTGAAAGCACTGAAAGAAAAACATTTATAGCAGAGTTGATAACTTCTCATAGTCACAATTCTGGGTCAGGTATTGTTATGGTAATTTACCCACGCATGCATGGACTTTCCCAGCTATAAATAGGAGCAGGTACTGCCTTTTGCGGGGTGAAGTTAGCTCCTTCAGTTGGACTGAACATTCTTGCTGCAACACTCGTCTGTATTACTGTTTCTGTTAATATATTTATTTAACTCAATTGTACTCATGTCTTTATTTGTGGCCCTAACAAGGCCACAAAAGGTATATTGAATTAATGATGACCACAGACCAATAGACATCATGTATGGTGAGCTGGCCACAGAACACCACCTGGTAAGCCACCCTGCACTACATTTTAAGGATGTTTGCAAGAAGTATCCAAAATTCGCAGGCATCAACTCAGGTAGATGGGAACAGCTAGCAGACAATCAGAGCAGCTGGCATCATGCTGTTCAAAGAGGAGTCACGAAGGGCAGGAAGACAATGCAGGAAGCAGAGAGATACCTTCATCTTACATTCCAGCTTCATTCTGTCAAACCTGCAGGAGAGAATGTCATGCAAAAATTGGACTGTTAAGCCACTCAGAGCACTGCTGAGTTGACATGAAAAAGTGATAGATATCAGAAAGAAATCCAATACAGAGTAGCTAGTTTTTTCAGTGTATCAAAATTGTTTTCCTTCCTATCAGCTTGTCGAAGTGTGAGTGACATTTTTATGTTGTCAAAATCCAGGTTGGTTTAGACAATTCCCTTTTGCATTTATTCTTTGTGTGCACTTGCTTACTGAATCATACTTGGTGGAGGTATATAATATTAGTGGTAAATATACACATACATATGCAAAATATATAAATATATATATATATATATACATACATATATATTTTTTGAATAAAAAATTCCGAGAGGATAGAATCCAGGTAGAACTCAATGTCCAGGAAAGAGTAAGGATATAATAAAAAGGCTTAAACACTAATATTCCATGGTCATAATTTATTCCATTGGAATCGTAAATACGATCCAATTCATCGGGCCTACAAATTCAAAAGGAAAACAGAAAAAACAACTCCAGAAACAAAAAATAGAATTTAGAAAGAGTGTAAGCATGAGAGTGTAGGACAAATGTTAGAGCCAAAGAGAGGGGTAACAGACTAGAGAAGGAGGGAGATTAAACCTTAACAGAGAGAAGTTTTAGAGAGATGAGTCAAAGATGGTTCAAGCGAGAGAAACATGAATGTTGTTGGATGTCTAATACATTAAAGATGTAACCGGAAAGGATACATTTTGTGGTGACATACACACACAAAATTCCTAGGGGGTCAAAATGCGACAAAGTCCATTGATAATTTTCAATTATATGACTGCCAGGGGTCAAAAAAATTGACACCTGGCCATGGAAATCTTTAGTAAAAGGCAAAAGATTTATCTGCAATTCCTGACCACCAGAAACCAAAAGTTTTGTTTTTTGTTTTCCAAAAAATAGCAGTGATAAGGAAAATTAAACCAAACTGACTTTGACATCTCTGGGTCAAAGGTCAGCCAGCCAGCAATAAACATTTAGAAAAAGCTGTAATAAAACCCACCACTCCCAGATAAGAGCAAAAAGTGAAAACATTAGTAGGGCTTGATATAACCTATGTTTGAACAATGGCTTGATACATTTTGTTTTGTTTTTAACACCCCGTGACCTGGGTGATGACAACAACACTTAGCAGATGACATTGTTTTTTTTCGCCACATATCTTTCATATTTCCCATCACTGGGCCATTTAGCTGTTCCTTTTATTTATTTATGTTCATGCCAAATGAAAGAGTAATGGATGAAGTTTGAATGATATTATTTTGAAGTGAAAATAAATATTTTTTCGTAAAAAAAACGGTGATTTTTCTCAGAAAATTGGGCATAATTTCTGAATGCTAACTGCTAAGTGACATTTTCCACAGCCAAATTGAAGATTAATTACCAGTGAATAATTCCATGTGCAAACAATAGCCATCTGGATCCTATAATGTTGCCCGAAAAGGTCCAGAATTTTACTGATTAATCGAAAACTTGTTGCGCATAATTGTGTTTTTCAAGGTCCGTTTCCATTATTTCATCTTGATGTTGTCATTTTTGGACAGCCAAGTCATCAAGGATTCAGGAAAAAAGTTTGGCACAGGTTTGCTTTAAGAACTTTACATTCTATGAGGTGTTTAAAATGTTACTGATGAATGAGATTTTTCGCTGAATATTTTGTTTATGCGCCATGTTGGATTTTCCTATATGACAAAAACAAGGCTTTTAAACAGCCATGATATGTGTGTGTGTGTATATATGTATGTTATCCCTGTAAAGTTTAGGACCACACCCTCAACACACTACATGTTACTGCTGTGGTTTCCTTAGTAAGTAGATATTTATGGAGGCGGTATTGCTATCCCCACATGCAACCCGTTCTGAATTCAGACTTGTCCTTCTCCTGGGCCATTTGCCCTATCAAAGTGAAAAAGCTGAGTCTACCCTTTTATTCAGCCTCAATCTTTTGTTACCAGATGCAATGTCCATTGGAGGAAGATATCTTATTTTGTGGGTATAGAGAGATCCAAATTCTTCAGTTCTTTTGTTAACTGACAAATTGTCCATAAGTAATTTTTGTTTTGGGGAACCACTTGTAATAAAAAATATATCATCCTAATTACTAATCATATGTGACAGCTCAGAATAAGAACATTTTATTTAATCTACTGGGATAAACTGTTCTTATGCTGCTGTTCACTAATGAATATCTCATCTTGGTCAATAGGGCAGGTTGATTTGTTAACTTTTTTTTTAGAAAGTC